AATGCTCTGGTGCAAGACAGTGCTGCTCAGCACAGCAGAAGTAGTAACTCCTTGCCCCTGACCTGCTGATGTCTCTCTGCATAAAATCTTTTTCTCAGCAGCAGCAAGCCTGGACTATAAACAGGAGCACAGACTTGGATCCAAACTCCTCTAAAGATCAACACTGCTCAGCTCAACTAATTGGCAACTGAAGCAAACATCAGCAATATGATGCTCGTGGTATCATGTTATCATGAGAAGTCTCAGTGTATGACATCAAGCCCATTGGACTCTGGATTTTTACTGCATGAAAATGTTGAGGTTCAGTTACACCTGGAGAACCCGAAAGTGAAACCTCAGTTCTGTATGTTTGGTCATGTCTCCTCTGCCTTGCTCAGCCCCTGCTCTGAGCATCCATCCCCTTGCAGCACCTCTCTGGGTACTCAGCCAGTCTCCTTTTGCAGCTGCAACCAAGCATCCCCCAGGAGCAATGAACTGAAATAACAGTTATGCTCTTTTTCCCCTTCCTTCCTATAGGACTTGTAGTTGGTTTGCATCGCTTTGTCTTGCTGTGGAGCTGGGGGTGTGGGAAGGGAGGAGGAGGAGAGGAAGGCGAGCCTGGGAACAGCCCTGGCAGAGCCCCATTTCTCTCATTCACTGACATGCTGTGCTGGGCAGTGGCTTGAATTTCCCATGCATCATGTTGGCTGCTACCTCATGGAGCTGGCCATAGCAAGCTGTGCCAAAGAATCACATCAGGCTGATATCCAACACCAGCTGAAGGAGGGAAAAGACCATCGTGCATGCATTTCCCAGACAGCCAAGAGACTGTCCTTCCCCCAAAAGCACAAGGCATGGGGTTTGGCTTGCCCAGTGCCGCACATCTCCAGTGCGGTGATCCCCACCTGAGCCCATCCTGCCGAGTCCCCCAGCCCTCCCAAAGGAGGGAGTGGGGCAGTTTGAGGTAATACCCCATCACAAACGATGCTCTGAGTACTTGTTGCCTTCCAAATACCTGACTCAGATGATAACTGTGCCCTGGGCATCTAAACCTACATGAGAGGAATCTTACCGCTGCTATCTTAAGAGGCTATCTGAGTCAACCTGGCCCCACAGAGCAACCAATATGGAAGTGGTTAGTGACATGAGGTGATCCTGGTTTTCCCTTGGTATTTTTGGGGCATCCCCATCTCTTGGAGCAGTGCTTTTTGTAGCAGGGGGATCTGCTCAGCTGGGGCAACCTGGCAGGTCTTGCTGGGGCTGGTGCTTGCACAGTGAGGAGCTCCTGTCTCAGGTGGCTCCAAGCTGCAATATCAGTGCTGAAAGCATTTTTCTTCACTGCTTCATCCCACGTGGGCTCTGGGGGAAGCAGAGCTCGTGGAAAGAGTGTGTGGGAGCAGGCAAGGGCTGCTCATGCTTTCATTACAAGGCAAACGGGGACCAGATCTTCCCAATACAGTAACTTGGTTCAGGCTGTCAGACTGGCATCGTTTTTCTTGTGTTTGGGGTCCGAGCACCTCGATGTTTTCTCTCCCTCCTATTCCTGTTGGTTCCCCTCTCCCTTTCTTTCCCAGAGATGCTGGAGGAGGAGTCAGCTGATGTCTCCTTGTTCAGTAATTGCAAGTGTAGGGAGCGTCAAGGAAATCTTCCCTGCTGCTTTTCCCCAAACTTGGAAGATTTGCTTTTGAGCAAGTGTATAGTTCAGATCTCTGTCCTCTTGTGTTGGTGAAGGGTGGCCATGTCTACACTGCGGACACTGGGCAGGTGAGGACAAGCCTGGACCATGTACCTACAGAGGTCCCTGCTCTCCCTAACCTCCTGCTTCTGGGCTCAGAAATTAATGTGGATTTTCCTGGCTGCTCCTCTCTGTGTTACTCTGCACAGGGCAAGACAAGTAAATGCAATAAGATTTAGAGCCTTTTACATGAACAAATCAAATCGTGAACTGCTATCAGTTTATTAGGATGATTCAATGCCCTGCGCAGTCTGCAGCTCCCAGCAAACCTGCTCCAGAGCTACTGAAGCCGGCCAGATACAGCAGGTCCCCGCTTAATTGTGTTTCCTTTCAATTATGGGTCTGGATGGTCAAAATCTGGAAAGCTTTTTGTGTCCCTGCAGGGAGATTGGGGCTGAGCCACAGCCCCAGGGCAGCTGTGTGGGCAGGAAGCAGAGGACCAGATCTGAGTAAAAAAGTGGGCCAAAGCTGGGTCAAAGCTGGTGGTGAGGTGGAGGGAGGGATCAGTTACCAGCTCGGTGTAACCTGGCCGATGAGTTTGTGATGAAGATGCAACTTGCACCGATCTGTTGCTCTGGAGGGAAACCTGCACCACTTTGGTGAGCTGGGAGGAGGGGAGGAAAAGATGGAGGGAGAGTGGGGGAATAACTGTCTGGTGGTTGGATAAAGCAGGAGAAATCACACCTGCTTGCACCCTGTCACTGCATGCTGCTGCTGGTGTCATGGATGAATTTGGCCTGTCAGGCAGGAGATGGCTATCACTTGCCATGGTGCAGGCTGTGAGCGACACAGCAAAAGCCTGGTAGCAACCATGCTTTTTAACTCCCTTTTCCTGCAGTGGCAGATGATGGAAGAACCTCCTGGACCCTGCAGCAGAGAAACCACCGAGAGCACAAGCTGCTCAAACAGCATTGCCATGCATCCCTAGTCCCACCACGGTGACAACCACCTCCCTTTGCTTTCTTCCACTCGGCCCCAACCATGATGCACTATCTCCAAAGCCCAGCTGGGAGGGATTTGGGGGCACCCTGGTGCCCCTCCAGCCCTGAGTTTTTCCTGGCAGTTCATAAAATGCTCCCACATTGATTCCTGCCTTTCATCTCTTTGTTCAAAGCCCCATGCCTTCGCTGCAGTTTTCACACAACAGGTCTTTCATCATCACGCTGTATTTTATCTATTCCTTTTGGCGGCTGTATTGATGGCCAAGTTCCTCCTTTCTTGGTCCTCACTCTAAATTAGATAAAGCAATAATAAAATGAAGCTATTCCAGGCTTTTCTACCACAAGGAAAACTTTCTGCCCTTTTTTTTTTTTTTTTTTTTTCCCAAGGAAGGCCACAACCAGGAGTTTCTTATCCTCTGAAAAGGTGTTGCAAGATGCTTCTGATGCCTTGAAAGGCAAGTGCCACTGTGAGCCCCAAGGCTTCTGCTCACCCCAGTCCCCATCACAGAGCTTGGTCCCTGTTACCTACAGCCCAAGGAAACTGAAAGCATCCCTAGTACAAAGGAAGGAGCATTTTTGAGGGTTTCTTTGGGGATGTGGCACAGCAGAGCATTTCTGCAGAGAGGAAAGCTGGTGTGTGTGGAGCGCAGGGGGGATGGGGATTAGCCACTGTTATTTTTAAGCACTAGACTAAGAGGATCTCTGCAGCGATGTAAGAAGCTCTGGGTTAGCATCACATGCTGGCGACTGACTGGGGGTGAAAGCTGAAGGAGCACCCATCTCCTCCTGCTCCCTGTCCATCCCTGGCACCCAGCAAGAGCTGGAGGATGCCCTGCACATGGGTTCTACCCCTGCAAGACACTCTGTAACACCTCATCCCCATTGAACAAGTTGTCTCCAGAAAAGACCACAACAAGGTTTGGGCACACTGATTTTGGACAAACAACAGGTTGGCAGATGGGTTCAGGTATGGGGAGCAGCCCCCACTCTGCTGTCCTGCTTCCAAAGAGCCTCTGTACCAGTGCTCTGGGCAAAAGTACAGTTTTCTTCAGGCTCTGGGGTTACAGAGCTTTGCTCGGCTCCATCTTCCCCTGGCCCTGTCCTCTGCATGCCGGCTGGGAACAACAGGTTTGAATTCTCTGTTTCAGAAGGAGTTTTGTACTAGATGCATTGTGCAGATCTGCTGGGTACCTCCTGCATCTCCTCCAGGCGAAGGTTATTGGCATAATGATCTTTGAGCAGGTGCCCACATATTTCAGGCAGCTTTTGGGGGGCAAGCATGGATTTTCCCTGTGGGACACCTAAGAAGGAGAGGAGCTGGTGGCTTAGGGGAGTGGGAGGGAGGTCTCTTGCCCTTACCAAGCCCAGACAAATATGCCTCAGGGGGTGCTCCTGGCTGGAGCAGGCAAGAAACACCATCACCCCTTCTTTCCAGGCAAGTTTTTCTCTGGTATCTACCTCTAACAGGACCACCGGGAGTCTGGCAGTGGCAGCAACAGAGCTGAGAGCCCCTGGGAACCACACCAGCCCGTGGGCCCCTCCACAGCTATGAAAACATCCCCACCCCAGTCACAGGGAACTGAGAGCAAAGCCTGTCCTTGGTACAAAACTGAACACCCCCAGCACCATCCCCCCCCAAGCCCCATCTGGCTGTGCAGTGCCCGATGCTGTGTGATCTGACTCATCCTTGGCCAGCTGGCGTGCCGGAGGGCTGCGGGCAGCCGCTGTCCCCGTGTCACCCACCAGCTCCTGCACATCTGATCCTGCAGCAGCGTGCATGGCCCAGTGCCCTCTGACCCGTGCCCAGCGGTCCTCAGGTTTCCCCCTACACAGGTAACACCACGAGGTTTGCTAACGCTCCTGAGCTATTAAAACAAGTCCCCTGATGCTGCTGAAAAACCTCCCTGGGTATTCCATGGAAGGGGAGAAGGTTGGTGGACTGTGGGACCAGCCCCCAGCCCTGAGGGGACTTCACCTGGGTGCAGCGGGGCCCTGGGCAACACTGGTCCCTCCACAGAGGGTTTTGCAGCCGTGGTGGGGTCTGTCCCCGTGGGGTGTCAGGCTCCTGGTCTCCCAGCAGCAGGAGAAAACCGGTGAAGTTGAACCCAGCGTAAGACAGCGAGGGCTCCCAAGGATGCTCTGAATCCCTTAGGGATGCAGAAAAGCGTTTAGCCTTCTCCCAAAAGACCAGCCCACACCTGCCCTGGGTTTTGGGGCACTTAGCAGCTTTTGAAGGTCCCTTCGGGCTCCATCCCCGCCGGAGCCGAGCCCGGGCAGGGGCTGGGGCTGTCTTGGGGCTCCGCAAGCACCCGGGGGGTCGGGGACCGCCGCACCGACGGCTTTACCTGGCGTAGCGCGTCTTCTGGAAATCCAGGACCCGGGACACGAACATCGCGGCGGTGCCATGGGGGTCCCTGGGGGGGCGGCGGTGGCTGCTCAGCCCCGGCCCGGGGTGAGGATGAAATGCCTCCCGGGGGAACCGCACCAACTCCGCGGAGTCCTGCGGGGCGAGGAGGAGAAGGGGCGGCCGGTCCAGCCCAGTCCAACCCAGTCCAGCCCGGCCCCGGCCCCCTCCCGCCCCCCCTGCCTGCTCGGGAGAGCGACCCGAGGAAAACAAAGGCGACCTCCGGGAGGGGGGGAAGCCAGCCCCGCTGCCGCCCTCCGATGTGCAAAGAGGAGGAGGAGGAGGAGGAAGAATCAAAAAGGGAGGGGGGGATCCCATCCAACTCTGCCCGGCCACAGCAACCTGCACGATCTCCCTCAGCCGCCCCGGCAGCTTTAAGCACAGCTAAAAATATTCCCCCCTCCCCGCCACCACCCCCGGAGGATCAAATAGCAGTAGGTTTGAATTGAAAATGTGATTAAAGCATCGGGGGGATGGGGGGCTGGGGGTGGGGGGGGCAGGGGAGCGGCGAGTGCAGGCAGCCTGCCCTCTCCCCCCACGCTGCCCACGGCCGAGACCTCCGGGGGGCACTGAGAGGTCCCTGCCTGCACGCTGCCTGCCCCCGGGCAGGGCCAGTCCGCCCCGGCATCCTTAGGGAGTTGCTTTGTTTGGCTTTGCTTTTATTTATTTGATTTTAATGATTTTTTTTTCTCTCTCTCCATTATTTTCCAGGGGCCCCAGCAGGGGTGGGCGGCTCAGCCTCAGCCCCATTGCTGTGGGGTGCCTGTGGGTGGGGACATGACTCCCACCAGCATTCCACCATTCTTCCCTGCTCGGGAGAGGGGGGACAAAGCAGCAAAACAGCAAGGCAAGGACTGAAGACCCCCAGATCCTCACCCCATCTCCATCCTAAGCCGTCAGCCCCCCATCCTCTACATCATGTGGAGAGGCTCTTGCAGGAGGTGAGACCCTGATGTACATCTGAGGTTGGGCAGCTCAGAGGGGGGGCTGTAAAGGCTGATGGGGGCTTGTCTGCAGGCAGAAAGGCATCATCCATGCCCACCCTGTGCCAGAGGCTGCAGGCATCTTCAGGCCAGCAACTAAGGGACAAGAAAGGTGATGTAAGGCCAGCAGCAACTGGAGGAGGAGAGCCATCATCTCCCCAGTGCAACCTCTCCTTGCTGATGCTGTAATAATGTTGATGGGAGGAAGGTGGAACAGCTGAGGACATCTCAACACAAAGGGTTGTGCTCATATAGTCATTTCCATGGGAAATCACACATACACACATCTTTCAAAAGCCAAAATGAACAAAAGGTAGGGGATCCCTTAAGTCAAGGCACGAATTAATCCTGGCACTCTCTACAACCCCTTCCAAAAGCAGCTCATCGCGCCAGGGGATGCAAAAGCAGTCATGCTCTAGGGGCATGCTGCATTGTGGAGTGGCCCTAACACACACAAGAAGCAACCCAGTTCCCCGATGCTGGGAGGTGGCAGCAGGGTCAGCCCCCATGCACAATTTCCACATGGACAGAAGACACCACTGGGGACCAGGCTGGTGACAGCAGGATCCAGGAGGTGCGGGGGGAGAGCCCATCTTTGGTAGGACCTTCCTGGTGTATCTGGGACAGCCAAGCTCTGGCTGAGAGTGGCAGGTCCAAGCTGAGATGCAGAGTGAGATCATCTCTGAAAACCTCTCCCACGCTCTGTCACTTAGCCGGGAAGATTCTTCTTTTTTAGTTCCTTCCCCAACCTTCTAGATGATGAAGTTTTGGCAAAGGCCATTTCATGATGCCTGTGACCTGCCTTACCTTTTCTCTGGGCCTGAATAGGGGAGGGAGAGAAAACGGCGATAAACAGCGTTTAACAAAATAACCCCCATCCCTGAAGCCCGCAGCCGGGGGTGCTGGCGAGGGACACCTGAAGTGAACCATCAGTCCTGAAATAGATCTGTCTCAGAGGGCAAAAGGCAAATTGAATGAAAAATAAGTTACTATTTTTGAAGCCTGGATCCAGTTGTTATGGCAACCAAAGCCTCACGCATCGTGCTGGGGAATGGCTCCAGCCCCAGCGCTGCCTCCAAACCCGGTGGCTGGAGAATCGCAGGCTGCCGGGAGCTGCTCGACAGTGGGATGAGAAGATATCTGTGCTCACGCCACCCATACCCAGCCGGTATGTGTCCTCTCCCCACATGGCAGCTCCCCTCACGTACCAGCTGGCCATGAGACCACCTTGCTTTTCTTTCCTCTCCCATTCCTGATACAAATATCTGAGTAATTGTAATGATGTTAAGGAGTTTCAAGCTACCCTAAATGCAGTGACATTTTTGTAATGTCACCAAAACAGGGCAGGTCTTGCAGAGTTTGCCTTTAGAGGAGGAATGGGTGATGAAGCCCAGGTCTGCTTCCTCCTCAAAATATGCCAAGTCCCAAACCCCACAGGAGTCCCACAGCGGGAGACACCTCTGTACATGTCCCCTGCTCCCAATGATGGGTCCCAGCAGGATCCCAGCTGTGAATGGTGTGAATATCCATGCCTTTGGGTGCTGCAATGGTGGTGTTGGGCTCTCCTGGCAGCACATACTGTCAGCGCATTTCCCCAGAGAGGGAAGTTTTCCTGCATATTAAGCTGCTGGAGCCAGCAGGTAAGAAAAGAGACAATCTGAGATTAAAATCTTCCATCTCTCAGCAGGAAAACCCTCCCCACGAAAGAAGAAATTTTGGATGGGTAGGAGTTATGGGACATATGGACGGGTTGGCAGCAGCTGTAGTGGAGGCAGAGGCAAGTGTGGGGGGCAGTGTGGGGGGCAGGACCGGCTGGGGGTGGCCGTGGGCCGTGGCAGGTTGGACACAGGGCAGTGGGGTGCTGGGGCAAGGCTGCTTGGGTTTAAGCCATTTGGAGGGGTTTCCTTGCCAGCAGCTGGAGGGTGGTTTAACATGGGGGAGCCCAACGGGTCCCTTCTACATCGGGGGGCTGCTGGGCTGGTGACGGACATGGCTCCATTGCCCCCCATCACTGCCCATGCATCACTCAAAGACACTCCTGCATGAGCTGGCACAAACCCCGACATCCCGCACACCCCAAAATACCTTGCACACCCCAGCGCAGCTCATTTCCCTGAGATTAACTCTTTTGAGGACCAAGCCCTTGATTTCAATCCAGCTTCCAGCCATTCCTACTTCAGTTGCCTATTTTTTTTCTCCCTGCAATTTATATAATCTCCTGACAAGCTGCTCCCTGGATCTGGCAGCCCGTGACTCCCCTTGCTCTGAAACTATCTCCTGCCCACGTCTGGCTGTCCTGCAAAGCTGGAGGCCCCCAAAAGCCGCAGCACTCAGTTGCGAGCTCCCTGAACACGGGCCGTGTCCGGGAGCAGAGCCCGCTGTCCCATCCGCTGAGCCTTGGGGACCTCCCGTGGTACGAAGCAGAATTGCAGAAGCGCCGGCGGGCGGGGACCGGGCGGTGTTTGGGACCATGACAGTAACTTGGCGGCCGGGGACAGCGGGGACGCGCCCGAGTCGGGGACAGGCAGCTGACCGGGTCTCCCATCCAGCCGCCGACCGCGGTGGACCCTGCTTAGCTTCCGGACGCCGCCACCCGCTCTCTCCTTCCCCCAACCAAGTTCGGCGCCACCGCCCGAGCGCATGCGCGGCTCCGCCCAGCCCGGCGGGCGGGCGGGCGCATGCGCGTTCGCAGTACGGTGGCCGGGAGGGGGGCGGGGGCCGCTACGCCGCCCGCAGCGTAAACAAGGGGCCGGCGGGGATGAGGAGGCCGCGGGCGTGCGGCGGGGGCCGGGGCCGCCGGGGCTGAGGGACTGCCGCTTGCTGGAGGCGTTTCCCTCCCCTCCCTCCCCCGCCGGACGGGGGTGGCTAGGGCCGTCCCGCCATGAACTTGGCCAGCCAGAGCGGCGATGGCGGCAGCGGCCATCTGCTCTTCGCCAACTTCAACCAGGACAACACGTAAGAGGGGGGGATGCTGAGGGGACCTGGCTTTGGGGCAGGTGTCAGGGCCCCTACCCCCGGTGCTCTGCCCGTGGCAGGGAGCAGCCTCTGGGGCCCGGGGCTCCCCCCCCACCCCCCAAAACCCTGCAGCGAGGAGGGGTTGGGAACAGCCCCCCCTCTCCCCTCCGGAGTGTCTGGGGAGCCGCGGGGTGTGGGGCCGCTCTCGTAGGGACACGCAGCAGGTTGCTCATGGGATGCTTGAGCCGTGGTTGCTGCAAATTGCCTTCTCACTCGCCCAGGTTGTTGCCCTGGGGAGCTTCTCCTTCTTGTACTTGCGAGACACTGCTCGATCTTGCTTTGGGAAAGGGAGAGAGCTGGTTTTGCTTCTTGATGATGTCCAGATTTTAGGAGGGCCTGAGAAGAAGACCCAAGTTTTCCAGGAGGTGCAGAGGATTCATCTGGAAGCTCATTATCTCTGTCTCTTCATACAGCTTTTTTATTTTCACTTGCTGGCTGTGTTGAAGCAGTATACTGTAGGCTTAAAGGTATTTTTATGAACCCATGCTTATTTTGATTTTGAAAAAGAAGCCTTTCTCATGTAGTCCTTAGAATTGCACTTACTCGTGTTTTGATTCTAGGAACACTCAGATAGTTAATGCTGTGCATCTTGCAAATTATTTAACCGTTGCAGCATATTTAGATTAATTAGTGCATACTAATTTTTATAATGGAGTGTTAAGCAATACTTTTCAGCTTAAGAAATCCTTGATAGTTGGAATTGGAACACTGAAGATCCTTTAAAGAAGGCTTCAGCTGGCTTGAATACCTAAGAAATGAAACTGGGGGATAATAACTGAAAGAACTTGTACTTGAGAAAGGAGGAGTTTTGCTTTAGGAAGTGAGTAAGAGGAAATGATCTCAGGTTAGCATCACAGAGCATAATCCACGTGCGTGGTGGTGATTTCTTTTTTTAACAACTTACTTGTTCATTTTATAAGCAGTGATATCTTGTCCTCACGAGAGAAATCTTTGATTGTCTTCAGCATGCACTGTAGCATATGGGAATTAGGAAGGCGAGAAGATTATTTATGGTGACTGCCAAGATTGAGGAGAAAGGTCACATCACAGAAGGAAATACTCTGTTTGCTTTTGTAGGTTTTGTTGGGCGTGAAGAGATGAGCAAGTGGAGCTGGATAGATTTGAGACAAGAGACTTTAACAGTAAATAACTTACGATAAATAATGGGGGGGAAGCAGTAGTCTTCTATGTATTTGTAAGTAAATCATTATCCATATATTGATTTGAGTGAAAGACTTTTGCAACTACTTTAAACGTTTTTGTCGGTATCATATAAAGCTTGTTCTGTCATTGTGTGTATCAAGCATGCCCACGGGTTGCTCAGATACCATCCATTTTTTACTTATTACTAGTAACTAGGAAATCTGTCACCTCTTTTGTTTGCAGTTTATAAAGTTTACTATATAAGTCTTTGAAGTTAAACTGTGCTGTCCAACACAGTGATCTAAAAGCATTAGCATTTCTCCTTCCTTAAAGCAACTGCCTATTTTCAGTTGCACCTTAGCTTTGTGGAGAGCTGTATATATTTAAAGATCACTGAGTTACGACAAA